AATGCAGTAAGGAGTGATGTCGTCTTTTACAAATATGGCAAGAAATTGAACTGCGACAGTACTTAACGCCATAACTGTTGGCTAAACAATTAAAACACAGTCTGTTATTTTGTACAAATCTACGTCTATAATCATTGTCTAAATTCAAAAATTCTTTACACACCATTATTTTATGGTCGCTCTTACAGAGAGCACAAGTAACCTGCGAAACAAGAAAACTATTATTAAAATAATTAGACCTTGAAGCCGATTTATCCCTGTGACTTATAGTTTTAGTATCTAGAAATTCTAAGGAATGAAATCTATTTTGCAAAAAATTTTGAAACTGTAGAAAATCAGGTAAAACATTACAATGACTAGTTATCTCACTAACTTTAGCTTTCCATTGTTTTCTTGTTTCCCTATCAAACTTTTGTGACACAATATAAATAATAATCGCGTCTCAGGAAGACGTGTCGATGCCCAAACTTTAAAGCCCCTGCATCATGTCGGTTGTGCCATCTAATAATTGTTTTAGATTGGTTGCAGACTCTGTTGTAATGTTGCGTTGAGAAAAAAACCTTGCGAAGATACTATTAACCTAGAACTGTTTATTATCAAACCTTTTCTCTAACATATTCCAGCACTGTTCATAATTTTCGTTGGATATTGCAATGTGTCTTATTAATTGTTCCGCCTCGCCAGTTAAATGTCCTTTAAGATAATGCCATTTTTGGACATTATCTATTTGCAGATTTTTGTGAATCAACGACACGAACAAGTCCCTAAAAGTAATCCAGTCGGTATAATTTCCAGAAAAGGTTGGAATTGTTATTTTCGGTAGCCTTACTGTACTGTTTTCTGACGTGCATACAGTAGTTATTGTAGTTTGGCTATTGGAACAATCTTTCAGTTTATCTAAAAGCTCTCCTAGCTCTGATTTAAATTCTAGGTAAAATTCTTCCACTTCACTGTGCACATCCTTTACAAAATAACTACTTCCTTCGGTCTCCTTTCTTTTTAAAATATCGTTGTGATTTTGTGAGAATTCTTTTCATTTATTATTTATAATTTCTATCCTGTTCTCTATGTAGCATTTACTAATTCTGTGCTTTGGACTCTTCTTGAAATTCACCTTTGCTTTCTGCAGTTGCAAACGAATATCATCTTGGATTTTTATAAATTCCATTGTATTAAGTTAGTTAACAATTTACAAGTTGATACAAATGATTAAAATATTTGTAAGTGTTTTGACTAGAAAATAGAATAGAAAATTTATTATAAAGTTTGGACTTGTAAAGTTTTAAAGAATTATATAGGACTTAGAATAAAAACGTGAACCGACGGGGAACCTATGCCCGATTTACTGCAAATTCACATGCAGTAAATCGGGCATAGGTTCCCCGTCGGTTCACGTTTTTATTCTAAGTCCTATATAATTCTTTAAAACTTTACAAGTCCAAACTTTATAATAAATTTTCTATGTTAACAACACCATATTCAATCACTTTATATTTTTCTAAGCCCCTATTCTAATAAATATCTGTTAAAGTACTCACTGTTTATGTCCTTTTTATATCACCTTGTACAACACTCATTTATTCACTGTCCATCCGGAAATGCTGACGTACTGCCCTGCTGATGCTATCCGCGCACGTCGTGATTGTCGCTATCCCGGTGTTCCATAATTACCTGCTTCGAGATTCTCAACGATAATCCGCCGCCACTTGATCTCGGATGAGCCGCCTTGTAGCTCTGGATGGACTAGGTTCAACTCCTTAAGCAAGACCCAAAAATCCGGCTCGGAAGGACCATGTCCCAAAAAACAACTTAGGGATTTCCAACAGTATCGACAGGAGCCACTTCCAAATAAGACACCAAGGTAGCCTAAGATCCATTTTATTAAAAAACCAAAAGTTCCCTTATATACGCGTGTCGGCAACAAACAATATCGACATCTAATTCGACGACAGCGCCATCTGTTGAGCGATCGGGAAACACGAATAAATATTGATTGACACTGCCGCCTTAACAAAGGTTCTGATATACATGCCACTCACGAGCTAACACAGCATTCACAGTTCAGACAACATATCAACAAAATCACATTAACATATAGGTATTACAAACTTATATGTCGAAATCAACAGTATGTCGAAATGGGTGGCGGGTGAGTGGACGACAAGGGTGTGAGGGGCGAACCACCATCTTTCGCCCCAAGCCAACCTCACCTGCCCGCGGTGCATCCTGCTGAATGACGAACGAGGCTCTGGCGACCGACCGATGGCGGTATATCCATCCCAATAGGCGTAGCTAAATACAATAGGCCGGTGACGGGCAGCAGCGTTACCGGTGCGACAAGCTACGCCCTGCGATCGCCAACCCGCCTGCCCAGCGTGGTGATTATGGGCAAACCCTCCCCATGCAGACGCAACAAAGGCCACGGCCCCCAGTTCCCGGCGGCCCCGCTATTCCTGGTCATGGTGGCGACCACGGTAAAGGCGGGGCAGGGGGTGCGAAGAATCTCCGGGCTACGGGAGGCCACCACAACCGACTGACCCTGGCTACGTACAACGGACGCACGCTACGGCTAGACTCGCATCTGGCGCAACTTGAGGTGGAACTTGGGAAGATTAGGTGGCATATCCTAGGGCTATGTGAAGTCCGAAGAGAGGGGGAGGACACCATAACCCTCGAGTCAGGCCACCTAATGTACTTCCGCGAGAGAGACCAACAATCCCAAGGTGGCGTTGGGTTTCTGGTAAATAAGTCCCTATCTGACAACGTTGTGGAAATTTCCAGTGTGTCGAACAGGGTAGCGTACCTCATTATGTTTGTGCAAGTGTACGCACCGACCTCGGCACACTCGGACGACGAGGTGGAGGATATGTGCGATGACATATCGAGGGCCCTTCACTTCACAACTAAGACCCACTACAGCGTTGTTATGGGTGACTTCAACGCTAAAGTGGGAGTACAGAATTGCGGCGAATCGGTAGTAGGATCCCATGGATTTGGAAACAGGAATCATAGGGGGCAAATGCTGGTCAACTTCCTCGAACGGGAGGGGCTCTTTTTGATGAACTCTTTCTTCAAGAAACAGCCCCAAAGGAAGTGGACGTGGCAAAGCCCCGACGCTATGACCAGAAATGAGATCGATTTCATCACGACGGATAGAAAGCACATATTCAGAGACGTGGGAAATATCATCATTGGATGATATAGTTTTGTATAATTTGAGGTCATCAGCAAAAAGTAAATACTTGCTATTAGTGATTTCAGCAGTAATAGTGTTGATGAAGAGTGAAAATAGACACGGACCAAGGTGAGAACCTTGCGGTACCCCCGAAACGGCATAATAAGGCCCTGACTCGTATCCACTCACAACAACAACCAGGGACCGCTTTGCCAAGTAAGATTCAAACCACCTTAGAAGCGATCCATGCACCCCAGCCGATTCCAATCTGGGCAGCAGCAGCGAGTGATTGACTTTGTCAAAGGCACTACTGAAGTCAGTGTACACCGCATCAACTTCATGTCCTCTGTCAAGAGCACGCGATACATCATTCACAAAACTCGGCCAAGTTTGATTGTACACCTCGACCAATTTTAAACCCATGCTGATGGACAGATATTATGGGATCCTAATGATGAGTAATAATAGGACATAAAAGAGACTCGAAGATCTTTGCAAAACACGAAAGTAAAGAGATGGGGCGATAGTTTATAAACTGAGAAGGATCGTCTTTTTTATAAACTGGAACGATTCTAGCCCGTTTCCAAACCTCAGGAAATTGACCATGTTCAAGAGAGCTATTATAAATTTTGCATAGGGGAGATGCAAGAAACCTGCTACATCTCTTGATAAATATTGGCGGAATGCCATCTGGCCCAGGGCTCTTAGAAACATCAAGCTTGTTCAATGCCTTCGCTACTTCCTCCTCAATAAATTGTACCCTAGTCTTGTCTGAAATAGCCGAAACTTCAAACGGTATTGCCGTTTGAAGTTTCGGCTATTTCAGAGTTTGCTAAGCAAGCATGTCCTGTGCCATTATATATAGAAGAAAAATAACTAGCAAATAAGTTTGCAATACCCGGACCCGTATCTGCGACGGACACCTTCATGTACATACGAGTGGGGAGCGTGGATAACCCACTACGTTTATTTTTGATATGGGACCAAAACATTTTCGAATTTTTCTGAATATTAATCTCAATTTTGTGTTTATACTCTATATAGCAGGTATTTGAGACTTTATGACAGCGACTACGAATTATCTTGAAAAACTGCAATAAAAATTATATTTTTATTATACTAATAACCCATTTGTAAAAATAATTTTCCATGTTTTACCATTTGGACCCGTATTTATCATATACACTCCGGTCTGAAGGTGTTCAAACATATCATCACTGAGATCATTAAATCCCGACGGTAGGGTAATTATATACCCATTCTCTAATTGAACAGCCGTTTGCATCGTATTCACATAGTACTTCGAAGGCACTCGAATCGCCTCAATAATTTTATGGGGTTTATCTATTTCAAGATCCCCCATCTTCATCCACGTTCTATTACCATATTGGTTTAGTTTGGAAATAGCTTGCTTCGAAGACATATTTATAAAATATTATTAAAATATTATTCACTTACAATTTCTTCGTTGGTAGACAGAGGTTACCCTGTTATATATTTTATTAAATTCACGATATATTTATTTCAGTTAGCACGGTAGTGGACTCTGGTTGTATTATGGTCAAAGTCCATTCCTGAGGCATATTTATATGAACCCATACCTATACATTTTCATAGGACTTAACCATAATAACAGATACAAAAGTAGGAAAAACTGACATCAACAATGTATTCTAAACACAATAAAATTTAATACAAAAATTACACCAATGTATTCTAACCAGAAAAAAAATATAAAATTATAATGATGATTCCTTAGTATATTGGTTCCTTAGTAGGTATACTCGCTTCACATTCTACATCTGACATCTCATTCCCCCCCAATTTATCTAATTGGTGATGAGCCCAATGCAGAACACTCGCTTAAAGGTTTATCTGTGACCAGGATAGGAAGTGGACTCTTCTCAGTTATTTCTTTCTCCCCCCACAATTCAGTGGTGGTTCCTTCACTTCCTTCGTTAGGTTTGAGAGTTGTAATCTTACCACCTCTAGGTACTTTTACACTTATCTCCAAACCTCTCTTATCCCTATAGGCTTGCTCATACAAATTGGATGACAGCTTTTGCTGTAAGGTACTCCCCTCCCAACCACTTCGCTTGCTACGGTGATGGTGTGGGAATCTTGTAATTTCCAATTTATACAGTAACAGTGTATTACTCTCACTACGCAATGTTATATTTATTTCAGGTGCTTTATCCACATTAAAAATACTTCTTAAAATCGTAGAGTGGCTAATCAAATCGTCTTCATCGCGAAAATAAAATTCAATTAGAAATCTCTACAAACGCACACCGTTACTATCCAAGAGCTCTACCTGTTTTATATTCCACTGACCATCATAAGTGCATAAATCCATCAAATCTTCACTTAATGTTCTTGAAATTATTCTTGTCTCCATTTCGCTACTGTTATCACGCTGCATGTGAGCACCACCACCCACGGTAATATAGTTGCGAACAACATTGTTACACCGAATACCACTCTTGTGATTCTCTCTTTCGATTTAAAAACACATCACAATATATAGGAATAGTTTATCTAAAATGGTGTGACCATATAATCATGGACATCCATAATATTTTATATTTTGTTTACACAACAAAGATTATACACTTTTTTTTTTTCTTTTTTTTTTTCCGTGCGGAAATCCCCTCGGATACCACCTATCGGTGGCATGTCGGACCCCTGGAAGCGAGCGCGCTTCGCAACGCGCTCACCGCCACCCTGGCCTGCTTCTGCTAGGGTGACAGATGGCCTCACCTGTCACCCCCAGGCCTGCGCTTATGGAGGACGGAGGTCGTTCTGCGACCTCCGGCGCCTGAGTCGCCTGCGGTACCTGGCAGTCGGGGCTCGAGAGCCTCGTCGACTAAGGCCAGGACCCACGCTCGGCCAGGAATGCCATCGGGTCACCGGGGCGGTGTTTTTAGCTTTAAGCCGTAACACCGCCACCCTTAGTTCCACCCCAGTGACCTCAGGCACGTCGTCGTCATCCACGTTAGGCGCCTCAAGCGCCGGAGGCGGAGCCATCTGTGGCGGAGTATGCTCCACCACTCGCGTTGGGAACAGGAAGCCAACGACCCTCTCAAGCAGCTCTGGCTGAAGACACCGGGTGAGCGGCGGGGCCCACGGGCGCATCTTGCCCCTAACTATACGGTAGGGGCGTCCCCACGGATCCCGCTCCAGTGTCTCCAGCATCTCGCGGCGGGCCTGGCTCTTGGCCCGCTTTAGCGCGGTCACGCAGGCTTGACGCAGCCGTGCGATCTCCGGCGACCACCAGTAGACCTGGCGCCTCGCAGTATTGGGCTGAGCCCTAGGCATCGCCGCATCGCAGACGCGAGTCATGGCCTCCCGGAACCACTGTGCCTCAGCATCGACGTCGACAGGCCTGTCCGGCGCAGGAGCCCAGGCCTGTACGATGGCGGCTTCCAGGAGGAGGTCGCGATCTAAGCGCTTGAGCGCCCAACGTGGTTCAGGTGGTGCCGGTCTGACCGGCGCGCCATCTGTAGGGGCGGAGACGTCAAACCGAATATATCGGTGATCCGAACCTGTCTCCTCCCCGACAACGACGCGCCAGCCCTGGACACGACGCGCTAGCGAGGGGCATGCGAACGAGATGTCCACTACCCCTCGATCGAACTGATCGATCTACCCCTCGCCGTCACGAACGTGGCCACGGCCCTCCGGTTTAGGAGAACTAGGCCGAATCTTTCAGCCCAGTTCTCCAATGCCCTGCCCCTCGGGTTCGTGTGCAGGGAACCCTAAGCCTGCGACCAGGCGTTGAAGTTGATGGCGTTGAAGTCCCAAGAACTGGGTGGGGGCGACAGGCATCGACGACGACGGCACGCTGAGCGAGCCATTGCTCGTACTCAGTTAGGTTTCGGTTCGGCGTGAAATAAGCGGCCACGACCGCTATATCCCCAACTATCACCGCTATACAGCCCTGTCCCCTTGCAACTACTGCAAGAGGTGGAGTGCCGGCTGCGGTACCGTGCACCAGGGCCGCCGTGCCGTCCAAGTCGGTCTCCCAGGCAGGCCCGAGAAACCGATGGACATATGGTTTGGCGACAGCGGCGATGTTGATGGACCACTGTGCCATGCTCTGGAGCAGTAGATCCTGAGCATCGGCACCGTGGCCTACGTTCACCTGGAGGATGCGGAGATGTGGATCCATCACTGGACTTCCATCCCCGCATCCCGCAGCGAACTTTGCTGCTGTCCAGCGGCACTCCCCGTCTGGATCAGCGGCCCGGAGGCGGAAGGTCGGCCTCCCGGCTTCGGTCCTGATAGGGCACAGGCCTTACCACCAATCCGGTGGTCGGCAGGCTTGCCCCCCGCTGCGCACCTAAAGCAACGCAGCGGAGCGTTGCAGCCACCCGCCTTGTGACCGGGCTGGTCACAGCATGGAAGCATCGGTCACCTACGGTGGCCTCCGCCGTGCAGTGCACCCCTACGTGCCCCACCGACAGGCACCTGAAGCACCTTGCCAGTCGGGCTTGCAGGAGTCGTGCCTGCGCCCTCAGGAAACCTCCGACCAGGAGGCTCCGTCCATCGGCGACCTTCTGGGCCGCCGCGATGGGGCAGCTGACAACCGCTGCCCCCTGTCCACCGGGGCCGAAGCGTATTGCTCCGGCCTTTACGTTGTCCAGAGGGCAGCTTCCCGTCTCCGCCACGGCGAGTCTGAGCTCGTCCGCCGTGACAGAGTCGTCCAGGCCCGTGATGCGAACTTCGGCGCATTTAGTGGGCCTGGACACTCGGACGTCAGCTGCATCCAGTGACTCCCTCAGCTTAGCCGCTAGGGCGTCGGCTTTGGGGCCACTGGTAGCGCCGGCGACCTCGAGGAGTCGGGCTCCCGTCCGTGTGTTTTTACACCGGACGCCCGGAATGTCGAGGGCTTTGAGGTCCATGTTGGCCTTGACTTTCTTGAAAGTGATAACGACGGCCGAGGAGCCGGCCGCTTTTTTGGCGGCCTTTCGCCTTTACTATCCTCGGCCACAGTCCAGCCCCGCTCCAACGGGCGCTGTACGGTGTCAGCCGGGGCCGAGACTAGGGCTTGGGTTGGGGCCGCCTTCCCCCTCCCTTTGCCCTTACCGGCCTTCTGGGGCTGCTGCTGGCTGGGCTGTTAGGCCCGCCCTGGCAGCGGCCGCATAGGTTGCCCTTGGCGGAGCCAGAGGTGGGCGACAACGGGCGCTCTCTATTGCGGAGATGCGCCTCATTATCCGCTCCTCCATCTCCGCCATGAGTCGGACTAAGTCCGGCTCACGCTCCGGGGCGGACAGCGCCAACGGTGCCAAAGGCGCTGGTGTGGCACCAGCGTGGGCACGAGCCTTGACGAGATCCGCCTCGAGGCGGGCTCTCTCCCTGACGTGGGCCTTGCTCTCGGCCACGAGGCGTCTACCCGCCTCAATTATGGAGCGCACGACCGCTACCAGGGCCTCCTGCTGGGGGCCCCCGGCCACCCCGGACGTCTGAAGCAAGCAATCGGCCGCGCCGATTGCCTCCTCAATCCGGTCGACGGGGTTGCCGATTTTGCCTCGCAGCTCATCGGGGCCAGCACCCCCACCCTCGCTCCCCACACCAGTGGTCGACCTCTCGGACGCGACCCCCGTCACCCTCTTTTGGGCTACCCTGGCTTTGGGGAGTCGGCCTCCGCCGCGAGCGCCTCTGCGGCTTGTGCCGACTTTGGGAGCCGTGGCTTCATCGCTCGAGACCGACTCCCATTGCCTCTTCAGGCCCAGGCGAAGCGAGCGCCTTTTGCAATTTGGAGTACCCTTCTGGTGCTGCTCCGCAGCTGAGACCATAGGGGTACTCGCTCCGCTCATCTCCGAGGCAGTGTCGGTGTTTGACACTACCTCCAGGTTTTTCGCGTCCTCCGCGATAACGTCGCCGGATTTACAGCTCGGCGACGGGCAGGTTCGACATTCGGTGCTCCCCCCAGAATACGACTGGGAGCTGCCGGAGCCATTTGGCTCCGGGAGGGATTCCCCAGACACTGTGTGCCCGGAACCCTCCTGGGTAGATTTATTCATCTTTGGCCTCATGTCATTTAAATAGTTTAACGTCCTTCGATGGGGACGCCTTACTATCCCGCACTGGACTCCCTCCAGCGACTCGCCCCTTGCCAGGCGTCAGAACGTGGGCTTAGAGCATTTTTTATAGAGGTTTACGACCTCGCGGATCTGAAGATCCACCGGTCCTTTCCATTCAGGATTACGGCTGGGCCGGACGGGGTCTGCACCAGACCGGGTCCGTCCGCCCCAGGATTTTTTATAGAGGTTGCCTTTCCCCGTAGCCCTCGAAGAGCCGTCATTCCTGACTGTTGCCAGCCAGGGTTACGACATGGCCGGACGGTGGTCTGCGTCAGACCAGTGTCCCCCACCTCTGGACAGAGCTAGCGGCAGTGGACCCGTCCGCCCCCAGCCCGCTCTCCCCTATGCCCTCTGCCAAACAGAGGGACACGCGGAAAGCAGCCCTCCGAACAGCCCTTGGCGGGCCGTTCCCACCTCGGCCGGAATTGGCCGCAGACGGCAGCGCCTCCCCCACCTAGGGAGAGAGGCGCTGCCGTCTCCGTTGCCCAGGGTGCACCACATGGAGGTTCCGGACCACGCACCCCAACAAAGATTATACACTAAGAGCGTATACCACATGAGTAACTCAAGTCCTGATTTTTATGCAACAATTTAAGCATACAGCAGTTACAAACTCCATGCGTTTCCTCCAAAATACTCTAAACACTAAATCCGTTCACAATGATGGCATTTCGCGAAGGCGAATTATCGTGGTTCAAAATCCAAGAATTTTGTTTTCACAAATCTGGCCTTTTTCGTCGAATTTGCTCTCTTAAATGCCGTTTATTTACCGTTTGACGTTCCGGCAAGAATTCCGAGTGAACACCGCAATAGTCAAAGAAAACAGTCAACATGATTTTGACTTTTGATCGACTTTGACGTGGTTTATTCGGTTTCGGTTCAGTTGGAAGGTTGTTGACTCGTTTGCATGTAAAACTCGTAAACCCACGTATCGTCACCAGTAACAATGCGTTTCATGAATGTTAGGTCGGAACTGACTTGTTCTAGCATGTCCTCAGCGACTCTCATGCGATTGAGTTTTTGGAGAAAATTCAGGTCTTTTGGGACTAGCCGAGCGGTAACATGTTTCATACCCAAATGATTAGTTAAAATGGTACGGATCGACTCGTGAGATACAGAAAGACACAGTTGAATGAGGATTTTCAGTCAATATTTCCTTCACTTTTGCGATGTTAACTTCAGTTGCATACGTTGATGGCCTACCAGAGCGAGGCAAATCTTCCATCACATCTCAACCGCTTTTGAACGCTTTGTACCACTCATAAGCACGTGTTTTTAAAAAAGTCGATTCACCATAAGCTTTCTGTAACAT